TCTCTTTCTCTCTCTCTCTCTCTATATATATATATATATATATATATATATATTTCTTTCATGTTTCATGTATTATTATATAACGAGAATATGTTTCACGTATTATTATATAACAAGAAAAAAAACACATTTTTTTCAAAATTGAACTATCTATATTAATATATATATATTATTTCGATTTTTTCCAATGATAATTAGAGGATAGGAAAAAGGACGACAGGAAGGGAAGTGATAAAAAAAAAAAAAAAAGAATAAACGAAAACCGCGGTTGGATTTCCGATCATCGACCCAACCCAAACTGCGATATTTACTCTAAATTCGTGTAATCAACAACTCTCGGTCGCTATTTAAACTCCAACATCCGTATATGAACTTCCACGGTATCTCGGTATTCGATTTATCCCGATCGTCCGATTAAACCTAGCAAGTTTTTTTTTTCTCGAGAGATCGAAATCGATAGCGAGTTACGAACGCGTAGGAGGATCTACTTGCGAATTCGTGACGAGAAGAAAAAGGGAAAGGGGAAGAATGGTAGGAAACGATAAATGCGAGAGAGCGACGATAACTGATAATTTCGATGAAAATATCGGAGGACTATTGGACCGTATATTAATTCGAAATACCGAGTATCCGAATGTCTTTACCGTCATTTAATGCATTCGTATGCGTTTTTCGAAGTATGTATTTCTATGCATATATATATATATATATATATATATATATATATATATTATATATATTATATATATATATTTATATATATATATATTTTTTTTTCTAGAGAAAGAGTGAGTTAAAAGCTAACGCTTCGTATACCGATTCAATCCGGAAGCCCCTCGAGCTTGCAAAACAGGCAAGTGTAACTCGGCAAACTTACGCTAGATATAGGCGTGTGCTCGCGAGCGAATGAAAGCCAGTGCATTCGTGCAGAGAGAGAAAGAGGGAAAGAGAGAGAAAGAGAGAGAGAGAGAGAGAGAGAGAGAGAGAGAGAAAGAGAGAGAGAGAGAGAGAGACACGCAACCCTGCAGCGTGAGTCGATGGAAATTCGTGTGAAAACTAACAAGAGAAAGGGGTGATACGGTGATAGTAGTAGTGATGGTAGTGGTGGTGATACGGAAGGGTGTATGCTGACGCAAGAACACCTGCTGTTTGCATACACCTACCGAGTAATTCGATCTATCTTTGGACTGAAACTCTCTCCGAGTTTTTATATATATATATATATATATAAAACCAAAACAAAAGAAACAAAAAAAAAAAGCAGAGAAAAACAAAAAAAAAATAAATAAACGCACAAAGCGATCGGCGAAAAATGTTTTCGGTCGAATCAGCGATCGCGTTTCCCGTATACGTCCTTTCTGTCTACCTGTTTTTCACTTCCGCTTTCGCGTTTTAAGCGCAACTACTCGATGGTACTCGGCGAGACCCGATCGCTCGGAAATTGGACGGCTCGATTTCCTTTCGAAAGCTACCGAATTTATAGTTCTTCGTTTTAATCGAAAAACCAACCGACCAATGTCCTATTCGGCCCATTTTAAACTCCGTAACTCCAGGAAAAATGTTGTTTCTTTTTTTTCTTCTTCTTCTTTTTCTTCTTCTTCTTCTTCTTCTTTCTTTTTTTTCTTTTCCTCCTTTCTTTTTTTTTTTGCTTTGTAACGCCCGAGGAACGTCAGCTTGACTCGTAAAACGCAGCTATACGATTTTCAAGGCGAATCTCATATATCAATGCCGCCGATTCTGAAGGCAAAGCTCTTTGGGGACCAACGTAATTGGGATTCTCGGAGGACAGGAGATTTCGAACTTTCTCTACCGTCCTTCTGTCTATCTCTGTTTCTCTCTCTCTCTCTCTCCCTCTCTCTCTGTCTCTCTCTCTGTCTCTCTCTCTCTCTCTCTCTCTGTCTCTCTCTCTCTCTCTCTCTCTCTTTCTGTCATTGTATTCGTCTGTTCTTCGTGTAAAATAATTTTTTCATATATGTCAAAGGGAAAGAACAATTCCAGCGAAATTATTTTATCATCCATTGATAATCTTCATCGAGAATAATCGTCCAAATTCTTATTATTTAAAACTGACGTTATAAAATATTATATATGTCAATAACGATATTTTCAAATGTAAATATTTTCCTGTTCGATCGGAAATGAATTAAGATTAATCTAAAATTCGTTTAATTAATGTCCTTAAATTCGAACGTTAATTAAAACGAAGTACGACAAAAAGATACGGATGTACCATTGCGATTGGTCCAATACCGTGCCATAAACCGTTGAACACATCGGGATTATAGTCGAGAACTCACGAAACGTTTTATTCGTTAGCCCTTTATCTCTATTTCTCTTCCTTCTACGACCATCCAAAGAAGAAGAAGAAGAAGAAGAAGAAGAAGAAGAAGAAGAAGGAAAAAAGAAAAAAACGAAAGGAAAGAAGAAGGATAGCCGAGTACCAAGCTCGTTCCATTTGTCAAGAGTAATTTGTCCGTTTCCATTTTGTGCATTTCACGCTACTACCGTATTAAAGAAAGATAAGGTTGGCATAAAACGCGGTGACGAGGCCAATTAATCGTTCTCACCTTTCACTATGATTTCCTCCTTTGTTTGGCCATCGTCATTCACGTCGATCTTGCGTATTTTTCATTTCTCTTCAATTCTTCACGTTATTTCTCCATTCTTTATCATTTCCTATGTAATACATTCAAAGAAATAAATTCCATATCTGTTAAGACAAAAAAAAAAAAAGAGGAAGGATATATGTTAAAAATATGACATTAAATATAAGAATAAGTATACATGATTAAGAATTGCCATAACGATAGAATAGTATAAGGAGATTAACGTAAGAAGATTAGCATTTCAATATATAGAATGAAAATGGAAGAAAATAGTTTTCCTTGCATATATGTATACATATATATATATATTATATATATATATATATATATATATATATATTATATGTATTATATATATATATATATGTATATGTATTTAGTATAGATACATACATATATACTCGTACATAGCCGTATGTAACAAGAGAGTTAATTCTCACATTCCGCTCGCTTTTTAGAAAGAACTCGCTCATGTGTATCCATTAGTGCTTGATAAAATTAAGTCTATAGTAGAGTATGCTCGTATTTCTATCCCAATATTAAATTCCTCTCGTTGAATTTTACAACTTACGGAGTCTATCCTCGGATCTCGATATTCCCAATAGATGTTACATCGATATTCCGTATGCGTCCCTTTATGAATCATTTCCATATTGACGATGTTATCCGTCATACGTATACACAAACACACATATTTTTTACCTCAAGTACATTTGTTTCAGCCGATAATAATTAACCAAAAGAGAAAAAGAGAAAGAGAGTGAAAGAGAGAGAGAGAGAGAGAGAGGTAACTCGACCGAGCATGGCGTAGAACGGAGTATTCATAAAGTCCAACTACAATGTAGTGTGTAACCGCTAGAGTCGGCTTAAGGGCTAGTACCTTAACTAACGTAACAAACAAAAGAAGGAACATTTAACAGGCGAGAATGCGCGCTCTTCCGACCTACCCACTTTCCATGCTTTTCTCTTTTGCCAGGATCCGTCAAGCGCGAGAATCTCTGCTCGTAGGATTCTCTCTGAACCGACCATTCTTTTACGCTCAAGTTAACTCCTCGTGTACCCTTTAAGTATAGAAGTACATATGTATATACCTTCATACCTAAACAAATTACAGAGAGGATCCTTTCAATGCGTTTTATCTCGCATAGAGATAGCGGAGATTTTATACCTTTAAAGATTTTTAGTCGTTCATTCCCTTTCATCTCGCATATAAAGTACCAACATCTATTTCATATATACTTCAGTGGTTGTAATCATCAACGAGAGATTATAAAATTCATTATTGAAACCATTTGTCGATGATGAATAAAATCGAGTATTCACGAGAGTTCGTATATCAATGAGAAATAGATACATACGTACGACATAGCTTGTAATTTACACCATATCACATGTGTTACATACTCGTGTAATTCGAATCGTTACACGTTAATTGGAAGTTAAATTTAACGGATGGTAGTTGATAGTTTACGAAATGACCCGATCCATAAAAGATTCAACGTGGCCTCGGATCTCCGATTTTCATGTATATTTGATAAAGTATAATGATTTTTTAACTATTGTTAATGCATAACTACCTGCGATTTCTGTTCAAAGAAAAATTTCACGAACGGCCATCACACGACATACATATTTACATAAATAGGTATGAAATAAAATACCTAGTGTCGAGATGACACGTTATTTTCCAAAGTGAAAAATCTCTAATTACCATTCTTAATGTCGGTCGACGGAAAAATATCACTTTGTTATCGACCTGAGCGAAACGATTAGAATTAATATTGTCGGCGCGTATATGCACATATTACAAGGGAACACGCGAATGTATTCGATATTTTGTTTTTTCTTTTTCTTTTCTTTCCTTTTTTTTCATCCTATTAATGTTCTTATTTCCATCGCGGTGGTATTATCAAAGAGGTCCATGCTAGTCGACTCACTTCCATCGCATTTCCTAGTGTCCTAGAAACGTTCGATAAACCGATACGAGAAAAGCAGGAATAAACGACATATTAATTTCAAAAAACAAAGATGGTAAAGTGTCTTGTCGAACGAAAAAAGATGGATATATACATAGAGAAAGAGAGAGAGAGAGAGAGAGAGAGAGAGAGAGAGAACATTTCAAATGCAAAATTGTCCGGTAATTTATAACATTCGACGTCGAGTCGTTTCTGCTCACTCGAGAAACGAGAATACATCGTCGAGTTTCGCGATAAAGTAATAACATATGTGTGCACATACGTGGTACAGCGTTTTCCGGTAGAAAACGAATGATGAAACGGATGAGTGAGAGAGAGAGAGAGAGAGAGAGAGAGAAGAGATAGAAAAAAACATATAGTACCACGTAGCCCGGCAGGCTCGTCAAACGAAATCGTTCTCTTTATCTTCTGCTTCCAGAGCCCTACGCCGCCGCAATACGTATTCTGGTATCACAATAACCGGATGATAAACTACGACACCTCGCGGGGCAGCGTCATCGTACAAACCGATCCAGGACCAACCCAGAGTCGACTGACGATACGCCAGGCCGTAGAATCGGACACCGGCAATTACACGTGTAACGCGTCCAATACCAAGCCTGCATCCATCTTTGTCTTCGTTACCGAGGGTGAGTATATTTATGTACATACATACATATGTATTAGCAGTCTAACTAAAATAACATAAACGTATCGTTTCGCACAACATATATTCTTAAAAAAGAATTAAAAAAGAAAAAAAAAAAAGACAAGAGAAAAAAAAAGAGAGAGAAAAAAGCGAAGAAGAAGATGAGAAAGAAGAAGTAACTAATCTTAGTCATCATTCGGTAGTGATTAATGTCCTTTCATATATCATGTATAAAAGAGAAATAACAAAGAAAAAGAAAAAGAGATAATAACAAATGGACATCTTCGTGAATTCATAAAAACGAAACAACAATACTCGGAATCCAAAACGCGTACGTTATACGTTTCACCTTTTACGATAATTAAGAGTGAACGCGATAACGTAACTCCCTCGAGGTATTCACCAGCCTCTCGGAGAATCGTTGATTTATTTTTCTACTATTCTTAGGGGAAGGAAAATTAATGAAAAGTTCGAAATACATTGAAGTGTTCTACGTTTAGATAACGGGAGAGAATAAAACTCTCCAGACACTATTTATGATTAGAAAGGAATTTAATGTGTATTTATTCGTAGAGAAGAAAAGAAAAGAAAAAGAAAAAAAAAAGAAAAAAGAGAGAAAAATACGAATATAATAGCCTTTAATGAAAGACAAACGAAAATGAAAAGATATGACCGTTTATAAAATGTGATAAAAAAAAATTAACATTTCGGTGAATAAATAAGTGAACATCTTTGAATCGGCTTCTTACACGTTAATAAGTATTTACGAGAGGATGAGAATAAATAGATTACGATGAACAAAGAGGCATTAGAAAGGTATTAAAAGTAAGACCCTTCAACTTCCGAGTATGCTTGAGTACATACATACGTACGTACGTATTTATGTATAGACATACATACGAATGTATATTTCTGATCCGATTAAACGAAACTGTTTCACGCGTTGCACGAGAAACAACTTAAAAAAGGTCGAAATATATTCATCGAGGTAACTAAGGTTACGCGTTTCCACTTTCCCCTGTAACCAACCCCCCCCGGTCTTATAGCAAGCTTTATATTAAAAAACAAACATCGTCTGTTATTATAACGTGTACTCTTTTCTCGGTAGCCCTTAGCCACTTTTTTCCACCAAACGAAAATACACTTGAGCAAGCAAAAAACCACTCTCTTTCGTTATTTCTCCCATCGTAGTTCATTAAACGAAACGACAAAATGTAGTAACTTGTATGTTATATAAATAAGTACATTTGTTAAAAATTTGTAAATAATGTAAATCACGAGATTCTTTCACGATTCGAAGGAGTAACACAAAGAAACATGTTCTTTTTTTTTTTTCAAGTAATTGTGTGTGTGTGTGTGTACGTGTGTGTACGTGTGTGAATACTACAAAAAGAAACAAAGTGACATATTACTCGTTAAATTTTTTATCAACGCACAAGACACGCTCTCATAGAAGCAAAGGGATATTTTTAAAAATAATACGTGCTTTAATAGGCGCTCCAATAAGTTTCTGGATGTATGTGTGTGTATGGGTGTGGGTGTATGGTGTACATGCGCATATTCACGCACATAACTCGTCTCAGCGTCAGGAGATCGAACGTGTTGGGATCCACGCCCCGCCAGGAGCACTCGAGCGAGCTTGCAGAGAGAAAGAGAGATAGATAGAAGAGCTTCTTCGGTCCTTCGACGATCGATCACTTCGATGACCTCCCCTAGCGTGCCTCTCTATTTCTCACACACTCACACATTCTCCCTCCCTCGTATATTCTACACATATACACACACACATATATAGTATATATCCATGTTTTTCTACGTACAATATATTATACATGTCTATATACACACACACATATATATATATATATATGTATGTATGCATGTATATATATATATGTTTATATATATATATATATATATATATATATATATATATATATATGTTTAATTCCTTCTTAATGAGACTCAAAGCTAACGACAAAGGCTTGACGAACAAAAAACTTCATTCTCTCTGTCTCTCTCTCTCTCTCTCTCTCTCTCTCTCTCTCTCTCTCTCTCTCTCTCTTTCACTCTCTCTTTGTCGAAATTCTTGGGGTTGACACAAAAAAAAATCGTAATCGGCTCGTTCAAAGGGCAGAACGGTTCGCTGTGAAACCCTCATAATCGACCGAAGAAAAGAGGAAGGAGGAGTTGCCTTGTCGGAAAAGCTTAATTAGATTACGAAAAAAACAAAGGGGTCGAGGGTGAAAGGATCATCTTGATCCTTCGAACGATGTAATCTCAAGAATCGTGAGGGATAACAAGACTTGCCCTAACTTTTGTCTTTTGGTCTTCTAAACATTCGTTTGGTTTCTTATATATATATATATATATTTTTTTTTCTTCATTAGATTTTCTTCTTTACTTTCTGTTTTTTTATTTTTTTTTTTATTTTTTTTCATGATTAAAACTTACGACAAGGAAAGTTACTTGCCGACTTTATAAATGTTCATTTATTTTTTCGATCCCTTTCATATTCTTCACTTTCAAAAGATCGATTCGAACTAGGACATAATCGATTTTTTTTTCTTTTTTTTTTTCTTTTATTTTCTTTTTCTTTTTTTTTTTCTTCTTTCTCGTCTTTCTAGATGGTATTACCTGAAGTATAAAGGTCAGGCGTGATCTTCCATCGCGAGATAAGACATTTTCTCTATCTCCCCTTGCACAGGACCAAACTTAAGTCCAAGACGATGCAAAGGGTGAACGAGGAAGCTCCAGCTCGCCTTTCGAAGCTCGTACCGAGTGTCCATGAAAAAGTAATGAGAGAACGCTGCAAAGGTTGCCTCGTAGTTTTCCTCGTGTTACTCTACTTGAAAGGAGGGTAAGAGAGTGAGAGAGAGAGAGAGAGAGAGAGAGAAATAAAGAGAAAGAGAGAGAGAGATATTTAGTCGACCTAATTTCAATTCGAACCATTTCCCGATGGAACGTTTATGAGAAAACGAATTCTATATGAATGTACATTCAAACGTAACACAGAAAATCTTAATTATTTAATCACTTTTTCATTAACATTCTAAATTCATTTTAACGGTGATTCATGTATTTGTTATTATTGAATTATAACAGATGAAAGAATAGAATTTACATCGTTTATAGAAACCGCATACTTTAATCGATTCCAACGATTTTCAATAGATGAATAATCAAATGAAATATTATTATTTCACAAAACGAACTTTTCATTCGGATACTTGTAATACATATATATGTATATATGTGTATATATATATACATATACATGTACACATGTATACGTAATTTTCATCCAAGTAGATCTCCGTTAGATGTACACATTCTGATGAAATTTTGAAGACACCAAGTCCATTATGGCGTCGCCTCACAGACCACGAATTTCGCGCGTGTACTAACGTCCTGTACCTACGGCGCCATATATACACAGAGGATCGTAATTCACGCTCTCCCGGGAACATATGGGCGAACGGCTCGCCGTAAATTACGGTAAAAATGTGCATGCGCTCGCGCTTCACGAAGGACACGTATACCCGATGAATGTTGCAAATCTGAAGGCCCCGGAGCTTTGCGTCATGAATCCTGATAGTACACGTAGGAAAACGTGACGGCTAAGAAATCACGACCTTCTTTTTTCATTTCTCTGTCCTTTATTTTCTTCTTTTTTCTTTGTTCTAACTTTTTTATTTTTTTTTTTTTTATAACCATCTCGCAAAATACCAACTAGTTTTCAACAAATCCGAATAAAACAAATTTTCTACTTTGATATTTCGAGTAATAAATATTATAATCAAACGCATATACAATTTTAAGTCAAATCGATGAAATTTGCTACATAATTTAAAAGAGTATTAATTTGCAATAAATAATAAACGTATTTAAGTACATCGTCGATAAATGCAAAGCTAATGATACGCGCATTCGTTTAATTGATTAAATTTTTTAATAATCTTTATTGAAGAATAATAGTAAAAACGGATAATATTAATACGAACGTATATTGCACGAATTATAATATAAATTATAACATATTTTATTTATTATTTTTAAGTTATCAAAGAGATGTTTTTTATATCAAGTAGATCACTTAATAAAATATTACTTTCCGTTATGGTCCATACACGGCAATACTATTACATAAAGATAATTAATAGGTACTTTAAAGGATCGTTCTCTATCAAAGTCGAAAAATTACGTGATTTATTTCTATTGATATAATACTTTCGATATTAATTTCTTTCATGTTTCCCGTTAGGAATCCTTCGATATCGTTTCATTGAATTTCCTTTTTCTCTTTTTAGAAACTTTGAACTCGGTCGATCGATGTTGAAAGAAAACGTAAAAAGTCAAAATGATCGTACAAAAATTGTCGAACGCCAATTACTACTCGTTCACTTTCTTAGATTAAAGCGAGAAGCTTAAGGCTCTTTGAAGACTAAAACACGGAAGCCTTACGCATTATACCGGCCCAGTTGTCAGACTGCGAACGTCCCTTTGTGCTTTGGTACACGTCTTCTATAATGCTGTAGCGGCGACGTAATTGACAAAGTTTACGTCGACTCTTGTTCATAAATCTAGAACTCATTTAGTTTCGAAGATCTCCACTATTTGATCAGGAAGTTGAATTAAACCGCTTTATTGTCAGACACCAGCGTCGATATTTCCCTCCTTTGAGTTCCAGAATATCAATTAAAAGTGTTATCAAGAAATTGATCACAAGAATAGAACGATATAAATAATTTCATGAAACTACGCTGTGTTTATTAAATAGTAATGATCTTCATATATATTTATGTATGTATATATATATATTTTTATGTACTATGTAATATAGTATTATGTTTATGTAATATAGTACTATACTATATTACACATATGGTATAATATATATAGAGATATATTTGGTCGAAGGTCGTTAAATCGAAGGTTTCTTAGTTTGCCGCAAATCACGGTACCCTTACTTTCCTTATAGCTTTACCCTAGCCGAATTTAACTTTCCGATTAATTAACGTAGGGTCTCCCAGGCGAGATATAAGCCAAGAACGAAGTTAAACCGAGATAGCCGTTCAGAGTAAAACATTTTGTATGGGACGCCGGCAACACCGGTTGCCTAGAAAAAAAGGGTACTTGAGCTAACTAAGCGGAAAGTTAACGTAATTCTTGCGAAAGTCCGAACAAAGCGAACTAACAATGAGTCCGTTTGCGGGAGACTCGCAAGCGTAACGAGAAGAACTCGAGGGACAAAATATCGGTCCGGTCGACGATTACAACCTTCCACAATTTTCCTATAGCATGAATTTCCTTCAACTAGATTCATCGTCTCTCTTCCTTCTTCTCCTCCTACTCTTTCTCATCCTTTGAATTATACATCGATCACGAACGATCGGGGGAATAATGAAATAATGAATTACATTTCATTCGTCTAACCGATTTGCCATCGTTCTCGCACACAGGAAAAAAAAAGGAGCTCGTTTAAAAATTGCATTAGATTCGATTATCGACAACGTATCTATGCTCGTACGAATTTTAAACTTATTCTCGTACATCCTTTCATCTTTTTCCAACGTCACACGATGTCCTATATCATCGATCATAAAGCCAAAGGATATAGTCAATGTATCAATTAAAATTAAAAACCTAAATATCTAGGTTACTTTATTGAATAGAACAATGTATCTGATATAGAATATGTTTAATTATAAAAAAAAAAAAAAAAAAATTAAATATAGTGAGAATATATTTTAAAATATAGTCACAAGGCAAGCTGAAAACATTAAAAATTTTTCCTATTACAAATGAAAAGAATATATTATATCGACGTTATTTATGCAATTCGATCGAACGATAGTTTATCCTAATTCACAGTTCACTTTACATTCTTTAAAGAGAAACAAAAAAAAAAAGAAAGAAAAGAAAAGAAAGAAACAAAGAATCTTATGGAACATCGTGCACAGTCAATCGTCGAATTTATAGAACTCCTACTGTTCGAATCCAAATAAGAAAAGAAAACAAAGGTTAAAGGTAGATTAACGGAAGCAATGAGAGGATGAAGGTTAGAAAAGGGATGAGAGGGTGAATCGGAGGATATGGTCAGCGACTTTGATCAACGACTGTACCAAACCATCCGAGCTCTCGATCCTGTCGGACCTTCGTCTCGCAAACTTTAATTTAATTACTCTTCTCTTATTCGATCCTCTCTATTTTTTGTTCCAGGTGACAAAATGGCGGCGATTCAACGCCGCAAAACGTCGGCCGCGAGGAAGATTCTAAACGAAATGCTGCTGACGACTATGCTCGCGGCCAGTCTCGTTCTGGCACGATAAACGATTTCATTTCGAAATGTCTATAATTATTTAAATCCGTACGACTACTTCCATTTGCGATAGGTAGGTTACACCAGTCCGCGTTTTTAACGAGTATTCATGTCCTTTCTTCTTCCATTCATACCTTTTATCATAACAAATTTTCTTCTTTCTTCTCGAATTTATTCCGTTTTTTGATTTTTTTTTTTTTACTTTCCTTTCTTTCTCTCATTCTCTCCCTCTCTTCCTTCCTCTCCATCTCCCTCTTTCTCTTTTTGTCTTTTTCTCTCTCTCTCTCTCTCTCTCTCTCTCTCTCTCTCTCTCTCTCTCTCTCTCTCTCTCTGTCTCTCTCTATTTTCTTTATTTTTTTTCTTTCACATTTTATTCCATCTCGAGATCGCCGTCGGTCGGGTCTAATCGGATATGCGAGATTTTCGTGGAAGATTATTCGATTGCCTGCCATGAGTCATTACGTGTGAGACCGGCACGCGACTCGAATTATGTAAATAAAATACGCGTTGGTAATCGTAATCGTTGCACCACGACAGCCCAATTGCGAGCTTTGGAGACGGACACGACGAGAGGAAACGACGTCGTGAAGAAAATTCAAAAGCGACGTGGAATCGCATCGTTTTGTGCGAAACATTTCGTTAACCCTCTAACTATCAAAAGATCTTTATCACGAAAGAACTCGCAAGGGAAACACGCCAACTCAATGATTTCGATGTTAACGAAACCTATATGAAGGAGATCGGAAAGGAGAACAGATCGTTTCTTAATATATATTTATCGTTATTGATTAACAAATTGATATATTAGAATCGTGAAAAAAATATTATTTTTAACAAACCTAAAAATGTTTTGCAATAAAAAATTCGAAAATATTTCTTCTCCAAGGGTACACAATCGTTAAATTATCATCTTGTCGTAAAAAAGTTCAAACTAGTCGTCCTTCGACGATAAGTCAACTTCCAAAACGATATTACCCGCTGTCGAGTATTAGCATAAGTTATCGGTTCTCTTTGTCATCGCTAGATGGCAATGCTCTTCATATCCCGTCATATATAAGAATAGTGGTGACGGGAAATTTCGTACGGTCCAGCCAGATAAAGGAAATAAATTATTAAAAATTATAAAAAAAAAGAAAAGAAAAGAAAAGAAAAGAAAAGAGAAAGAGAAAATGATAAAAGGAAAAAGGAAAAGAAAGAAAGATAAGAGTACTATTAAAAATATTCGCGGTAATCAAAAAAATATCGTTGTAAATTCTTAAAATTGAAGATCCTCTTTACGAAGTTCCGCGTTTCATGAAGATCGAAATATTCGAGTTGGCGATATAAATGTTAAAGCTACGCGTTGATGTTTAATGTATCTCAGAGACTATCTCTCATACATAAATCTTAAAAGAATGTACATGATCGTTATTATTTCTCGTCGATATTTAGGATAACGTGTAAGAGTTTTCTAGTTTATAAAATATTTTACGCGTTCAAAGTCTGTTTCGGGTCCATACGATTAATAATATATTTAAACGATCGTTGTTATATCTTATCGAAATCGAGAACCGTCGTATGAACGTGCTCGAATTATGTAAAATAATGTGCTTGTGAAACGGTGTTCGCGGCGACACGCAAATTCTAGTGGTAGTTACAGGGTTAAATAAAAAGATAAAATAAAAGAAAAAAGAAATAAAGAAGGAAGGAAGGAAGAAAAGAATAATAAACGAGATTATTAAAGTTTCCTCGGATATATCTTTAATCGGAAAATGTAAAAAAAAATTGAAGTTAAACTCGTAGAAAGAATAACGTATGAAAGTATTTTCTTGTACGTAGAGAGGCTTTCTTCGTCTGTCTCTCTTTCTCTCTCTCTCTCTCTCTCTCTCTCTCTCACTCTCTCACTCTCACTCTCTCTTTCTCTTTTTCTCTCTCTTTCTCTCTCTCTCTACCCGCTTTCCTCGCTTTTTAAAAAGCGTCTAAAAGCATATCGGTCTTCATTCGTTACGCACGGAAAAGTTTTGATGGCAACGATCGATCTACGAGAAAAATGAGAATTCTTAATATTCGAGGAGTAACGAGGAATAACGAAGGTACATACGCGATATTTATTACTATTCGTCGATACGTCATTTTTTTCGTTTACCATAAACAAAAAACTGTAATCCCTTTATATTGTCCCTCATATTCTCTCTTTCATTTCTTAAAATAAGAAATGCACGAGTAAATTAACGAGACGAGATTCGAGAAACGATTCTATCATTATGAAACGTTTATTTTTCTTTAATCTCATCGTATCAAATTCATTAATGGAATATAACCTATATACGATAGAGACCGAAACGGTTCGTTTCTTTTTTTCTTCTTTTTTTTTTTTTTTTTTTTTTTTTTTTTTTTTTTTTTAATTCACTAATCAAAAGCAAATAATCCAATCGAAGGATATTAATACGAAATTTATTAATTAATTTTTAAAAAATTTCTTCGGATACCGAACAAAGAGCAAACGCGAGGACGCAAATGCGTCGACCGTTCAAGCGTACTACGCGCATACAGATATGTAATTATGTAAACCTATGTAATAATAATACCAATAATTATAATAATAATAATAATAATAATAATAATAATAATAATAATAATAATAATAATATTAATATTAATAATATTAATAATAACATTAATTATAATAATAACAATAGTTAATAGTAATAACAATAAGAAAAAAGAGGAAGAAAAAGAAAATGAAGATGAAGATGAAGAAGAAAAAAAATTATTTCAAGATAAACAAGATCAAGAACCGATTACGTTATCATAGAAGGACTTGTAAATATAAGAGGCTCGGAATTCTATTCGGCCAAATATTTCAAAATCAAATACCGTCTAGCGAAGTTACTGGAATAGCACGGAGCAATAGGCCATAATGAGAACTATACAAGGTTCCACGAATATTTTGTGAGATTTGGAATGTTTCGATCGATAGAAATCGTGCTGAGGAATCTACAATCATAATAACAGATGAAAACACGGAGAGAGAGAGAGAGAAAGAGAGAGAGAGAGAGTGAGAGGAGAGAGAGAAATATATACGCACTGTATAATTCAATTGGTCGTTCGCATCATATCACAATCGACATAAAAGATACCGAGGTTATATTCGAGATCTTCGATATATACCTCTTCGAGCTCTCGATTCGATTATCGATCTTGCTATTTCTCACGCATTTTTCTATTTATCTTTTTCTTTTAGTAAACGACCACCGCGTTTGCACACGAAATGAGAACAAAAAAAAAAAAAAAAAGAAAAAAAAACTGTCGCTTTGGCAGTGCCATTAACGTGAAACGAATGAAATCGTAGCAATTACGTTTCGACGTTTCATCGTATCGATTCGATTCGCGTTATTGCATTACATAGAACGATTGCTTTCGAACGTAAAACGAGCGAGCGATTCACGGCTATCGCTACTTTTACCCTTCAATTATCGCCGAACGAAGCGAGGCGCCACACCGAAAACGATCCTTCGTTCCATCGCGTACGTTTGCGAATCAAAGGAAGTATTAAAGAAAGAAAAAAAAAAAGAAAAGAAAAAAAAAAAAGAAAAGAAAGAAAAAATAGTAGAAGAGAAAATGCGACAGAAAAAAAGAGAGAGAAAGAGGGTAGAGAGAGAAAGAAAGAGAGAGAGAGAGAGAGAGAGAGAGAGAGAGAGAGAGAGAGAAAAGAAAGAGAAATGAGTCTTATTCAAATCGACAAATCAACGACAATTCGATCGTTTGTATTTCCTTAAAATCACGATAATCCGTCGAATTCGATTGAATTTATTTCACCGATATAACATATACAATATTTTAATCGCTCAATTACTTACATTAATAAACTCGTTAATGTATTACACAAAAACCAATAGATATACAAAAAAAAAGGAGAAAGTAAACGACGAACAAAAAATACGCATATCTATTTTCCTTCTTTCTTTTTTCATCTTATACTGTCTTTGATCGATCTCAAAAATTAATGTCATTTTGTTTAGAGAAGAAAAATAAAAGAAAAACAAAGGACGAAAAAGAAGAGGAAAAAAAAAAAGGAAAAAGAAAAAATTTTTCGATCGCACAAATAATACCTTATTTTTCTTTTAAAAATTCTCAGTAGTAGTAGACTTGAAAATGAATCGTTGCGAATAGACAAGGGAGATGATGGAAACATAATTATACGCCGTCGATTCAGCAGCGTTAGCGTTGAAAAAAAGCGTGGCCAGTAACATTGAGGAGAGCTGCTGCGAAAATCTCTTTGAGACACGATGATTGGACGCGACACGAGCAGCTTACAATGGACGTTTAATGAGTTCTTTTTATGGTACGATCGAACGCGCGCACTCTCGCTACATCCACGCAGTGGAAAGGACAGATAAAAGAGAGAGAGATAGATAGGTAGATAGATAGATAGATAGATAGATAGATAGGACATAGACATAGACAGAGACAGAAAAATACAAAGAGACAAAGAGAAAGGAGTGGATGGAAGAGAGAGAAAAAAAAAAGAAAAGAAAAGAAAAGAAGAGGTTAGGAAGGATCGTTTGATCGACGGACCGTAAAGATGGCTTTCGCGGATTCCGTGGAATCAGGTGCAGTCATCCGTGTATTATGTATCCGTCGTTATCTCTTCGGCAAGAAGAAAAAAAAAAAGAAGAAGAAGTAGAAGAAAGAAAAAGAGAAAAAATAGAAAGAAAGAGAGAGAGAGAGAGGGAGAGAAAGGGAGTGAGAGAGAGAAAAGAGAAGGGCTATGGGCGCTCAAACTCATCTCGAAAAAAGTCTTTTTCGCGTCCCTTCTCTCTTAGTTCTTTTCCCTTCTTTTATTTCTACGTCACTATCGAAAGATCCTTTGTAAGATACAACACCGATAAATATCTTTTTGAAATCGTACAGATCGTTCGTGCGTTAATATCTTTCTTTTTTTTTATTCTTTTTCATTTTATCCATCCATCTACCTAGCTTTTTTCTAACTATCTCTGTCTTTCTCTCTTTTTCTTTAAATTTCAAACAATCGTCGTTAAAAGTTCGTTCGACGAGATTTCCATGGATGCGATGTAATTATGAAGATACTAGTCATTTTATATATATATATATATATAGTCATTTTATATATATATATATATATATATATATATATATATATAGACAAAAATAAAAGAAAACGATGAAATCGTGTTTTGGTTCACATATATATAACGTTGTACTCGTATATGTATTATATATACACGTACGTGTATGTTATATCAACGAAGTTGAAACTCGCGAGAGCACAATTTAGTTTCTTCCGTTCTGTGCTTGTCTTTCTAGAAGCGAACGAACCCATCGTGCTGTCGCAGGGAACTTCGAAATGAAAGTAATCTAAAAGCTGTCGTAGGATTGTAAAATTTCCCACGAGTTCTCTGTCTCTCTCTCTGTTTCTCTCTCTCTCTCTCTCTCTCCCTCTTTCTCTCTCTTTCTCTCTCTCTCATTCTCTCTCTCTCTCTCTCTCACTCTCTCTGTCTTTCTCTTTCTCTTTTTCTCTCTCAACGTGTTACATATATGTATGCGTGTATGAACATGTAGTACGCTGTATACATTTTCCAACACGACGAAATTACTCGTGCGATAATGAAACTTGTCGCTAAAGAAGGGAGAAAAAAAAAAGAAAATAAGAGAGGTAGAGAGAAAAAAAACGGTCTGAAAAATGGCGGCTTTGTAACGTACGAAGAAAGTAAATTACGATAACGAGTAGAAAGATTAGCGCACGGTTTGCGGCGCCGTTTTATAATCTCATCGTTAAGATATACGTTAATAAATTTCCTTAATTCGTCCATGAAAAGATGAAAAGATTAAAAAGAATCTAACGCGCTAGTGAACTTTAGCATTTTGAGCTCTCTCGATAATTAATTTTCGTAAATGTCATGAACGACGAGAACGACAACGATAAAACCAACGTTATATTATACTTTCTATTCCATTATCTATACCTTTCTTATAGCTACAAAACAAAATTATAGCTATAAGAATGCATATGAAAATTATATATTCCTTGATGGCAAATTGTTAACATGTTTTATATTCGAGTAAATTGATTTTATAAAATCGAACTCGAATCAAATTCGTTGGTTATGAACGAGAGTGAATGTGCGAATGAACTTGGCGAGTATACAACAAGACCGATCGGGTTGACCTAAATACATTCTTTACCATAAATCTGAAGGACACCTACCGGGCAAAATCCATTGGCGAGGAATCTTCCTATCTCGAATTTTACGGATCCTCTTCGTTTTCTCTTTCTCTCTCCTTCTCCCTCTTCCTCTCTCTCTCTCTCTCTCTCTCTCTCTCTCTCTCTCTCTCTCTCTCTCTCTCTCTATCTCTGTTTGTATTTTCAATCGACCGATAAAAGAATCTCCAAAGAAATTTTTACGAGACAAAATGAAAGAAAATTTAAATGGTGCGTCGTTCACGTCGTAAAGAAGAATCAACGTTCTCTCTTCCGGTTTCCACTCGACAAAAGAAAATTCTAATTACTAATCGGCTCGTTTATCCCTCGGCACGTAAGGAACGCCAACTTTTAAGTCGCGTTCTTAATCGCGCGAAAATGTAAAAAAAAAAAAAAAAAAAAAAAAAAATAACAAAAAAAAAAAAAAGAAAAAAGAAATAATAAATAAAAAATAAAGATTACTTTAAAGACATAACGCAATACGTGTAATTAAAATGTTTTTAAGTAATCTTTATTTCGAAGAATTGAAAAAGAAATATAATGAATATAGGAAATAAATAATACGATCCTTTTATGTATCCTGTTAGTAACGTTATACAAAGATTTATTACGTATCCATGTAATTTTAAGAACTATAAAGAAAATACGTGTGTATACGTATATAAATATATACATATATACACGTATATATATATATATATATATATATATATATATATATATGTATGTAAGAAATGAAAAATGAAAGGAAAGAAGACAAAGCATTCGCGTAAAAGTGATTAGAGTGAAAAAAAAAAGGATGCATAATGGCGAGAGTTCAAAGAAAACTAGCAGCGTTATCAGCGATTTTTATTAGAGACTCGTTAATCGATAAATCGTGTGACAAAAAAAAAAAAAGGAACACATCAAATCTTTATTTGAACCATTTGACTTTTCCTTATATTCTTATTGTACACAGATAAACATTTATAATCAAACTTTTAGTAATCCATTCTGTTGTATGTATCTATGTACGTACCATGTTAATCCAATATTTAACAAACGTGAAGCGCCTTAAGCGATGAAGACTTCAATGTTTACGTATCGAGCTATAAATATTTTCGTATATTATTATAATATATCATCAGCCTTCATTGTGAAAAACATGATTAGACTATCTTTTCTTACATTATATCGCACATATGAGAAATATTATTATAATTATAATACGATACACTAGACGATACTTTCTTAATGTTTGTCAAAAAAAGAAAGAAAGAAAGAATGAAAAAAGAATAACAACTCGACAATTCGATCGTTCCAATAAACGATTGAGATGATCGATCCGTTCAGAATTATTCCATAAAAGGAAACGTTCATTTCTCTTTTTTCTAAAGCAATAATTAGATCTTACGGGTCGCAAATATACATCTACACACATATCCAATTCGACGAAATGTTTCAGAGCTTGATACGATGAACGATAAGAACATGAAAAAAATTATGGACCACCGAATATAAAAATGAAAAGTCTTCGATCTTATACGTGATCCTCGCTAAGTTTACAATTTAAAAGAAGTTGCCCTCCTTCTATCCCAAGCCCTCTTTCTTCCCATTCTATGTTCTACAGGATAAGAGAAATCGTTTTGATCAAGACCCTTTTAGACGATCTAGAATTCCGTGGAAAGGGAAAGAGAGAAGAGTAGATCCCTCCTCACTCAAAGAAGGCGATTTATATCTTATCTCGACATGTAGTCTCTGATCGCGTTGCGTAACTTTGACGATGACATATGAGAAAGAGAAAAAAGATAACTAATATTAAATATAAAAACACACTCGCCGAGCGGGCAACCGAATTCTCATTCATGAGTTTGGATCTCTCGAAGAAGATACGAAAGGGGAAAGATTAATAAATAAAAGAACAAAAAAGAAAATGAAAAAGAACTCCGAGACCCGGCGACGAAAAAACGAGACGTATCCCGCGCGACTTTTACGTACCAAGAATTTTCTATTGCGTCATCTTTACTGTTCGTTAATAAGATTAATTAAAACATACGATGTAATTAATACCAAAAATAATAAGATGCGATACGCGTCAAACCGAGCGCAAACATTTGTTTCGTTTGCACTTTGTTTGGCCGATATCGCATTAATTAGGCTATCAATCTAGGATCTAATCGACATTAAGCTAAGATGATAATGTAACGATACATTATACGATGGAATTTCGAATTAATTCTTGAAGAATTAAATGATAAACACTCGCAACTTAATGAATTTCTCAGTATATGTCTGCAGTCATGTATTATAGAGAAGGAAATGATTCGATTCAATAAAAACATATGAAATCCTATTTGTCTAGTCATTCCCTTTTTTAAATCGATCTTTACATTGCGACATTCATAGAGATATAAATGATATATGTAAATATTTGTTAAAAAAAATATCTTGAAAAGTATAATTGCACTTTATTATAATATTCATTTCCAGGTCCCTTCACTATGTTTTTGCCACTCACAAAAAGTAGACAAAGGATCAACAAAATTTATAACATTACATGTATAAATTATTACACGTTTTGTAATAATTCGAATGGATGCATACGCATGGAAATTGTTTCTTATGTTAATTTCACTGTTCTAAGTTTTATCGGTACTGATTTTTTTTTGTCGTCGTAAACGATATTGTGTTTCTAAAACTAGTGTTTTAATAACATTGTCTTCTAACGATTATATATATGCATATATGTCTACAAATACGCATATATATTTTTTTTTTTTTTTATTCATATATAATATAAAGAATCTTACGTTATAAGCATAATAGGTAATTAATTTAAAGCTGCAAAAAGTCTCAGCGCCATTTACATTTTATTCATTTTTACAGTACTTTTGTGCACCTCCACGGTTCGCGCAACATATGTAAATGCGTACGAAAAAATGTAATGCCTAATTTTTTTCTAGACATAAGTTATAGCATATACACAGCTTTTTACAGCTCAGAAACAATTAATAGAAATTATTTAATCTTTTTTCTTTTTCTTTTTCTTTCTTTAAGCAGCTGAACCCTTTTGCAGCTGTGATAATTCAGAACTTTATTCTGTATTATATAATATATCTAAATAACAAAAAATATATAATATTTTACAGTACCATTAAATTATAATAACTGTAAATAAGTTGTTATCTGTATGCGGAGCGCATAACAGATTTAGCCATGGCAACTGACAAATTGGATCACTCCTCTCGAAGTACGGATAGACATTTCTTAAGCAATTCTGCGTGCGCCTATCATTAAATAAATGTTGAGTAAATTATCTTATGAGATATGTGCTCTTTACTTTATGTATATATATATATATATATATATATATATATATATATATGATATTAAATACTTACTTTAGCATGTTTTATTTCAAGTTCCGTTAACTCAATGAGGTTCTTTTTAAATGCTGCTACACGTCTCGTTTTAAAATCCGTTAATTCTGAAACAAATAATTTTACTCAAAAAAAAACTATATAACATAACGCGAATACAAATTACATACCTTTTTTACCCTTTTCAGACATTTGTTCAAATTTTTCACATGCCTCGGTTTGAGCTTGTTCTGCCTTGATTAACAAAAATATAAAACTTCAGTACACAAATAAATTTCATTCTTAATTCACTAATTTAATATCTGTTACATATAGTAACGTTTAAAGTATATCTTTCTTATTAAATTTTAGTGATAATTTCTAATAAATATATCACTTTTAATAAACATATTTAATAATAATTATGATTTTTGTCATTTACAAATCATTATAAAAGATTTAAGACTCAGTTTTATTACACACTATTCTGTATTTTAAACTGAAAATTAAATACAATTCATTTCTATAAACTCTTAAATAACAACATGCAAGTTTAAGTCATGCATAACATTTATTTGCAGTCTCTGCTTTTGTGCAATATCTAAATTATGATAATTATCCTGCTTAAAGAGTATTTATTCGATTACATATTTTGAAATAATTCAAAAAAAAATTAATACAAACACATTTTCATAAATATGAACGACGTAATGAACTCTAGCAGGATAATTGTGCAAAAAATATTTTGTATGCATCATAAATACTTCGCGTACTGCTTCTTGTAACTATAAAATGTAAAATGATCTTATTAACGTTCATATATGATACCCGATTAAATAAATTCAATAGAACATGTATATATCTATGTAATGTATATCTTAAAAAAAAAAAAAAAAAGAAAAAAAAAATAATAATAATATAACTCGAAAATATATAGCAATTCAGATTATTAAGCAATATAGCAGAACAATGTATGTATGACACAAATAAAGAGAGACACACCTCAGCAACTTCCAGTGCCTTGAAGTGCAAGAAAAATTAAATTGCTTATTAGAAAATATGGTACGTTAAATTTAAATAACATTATAAACATGTGTTTCCGTATTTACATTAAAATTCTTTTTCCTTTGAATTCATTTATCAAATATATGCAATTTGATCTTGAAAAGGAAATAATGCTCAAAGTCCTTTTTCTTTACAAATAAACTTTTTAAATGAACATTTTTATCCAATAATTAAATAGAATTTTCTAGCAATACTTAATTCCGTCTTAATAATAAATTTATATAAAATTCCGATTAGAAATATATACTCACTGCATGTACATCCTTATTTTTGGCACGAGCTTTTTCAAGAGCACGATTTGCAGATTCGTATGCGTGCAAAGCTTTTAACCTTCTAAAAAGAAGCCTTTTTGCTGCAGCAGTATCCCTCATGTAATAACGAAGCGTATCAGACAATTTCAAATCCTCGTCGGATGCTACTCGTCCTTCGACTTTCTATAGTATTTTAAAATAAAAAAATATTAAGAATAAAGAAGATAAACAAATTTTATGCAAAATTTATATTGCTACTTCTAACTATCAGCTTACCCGTAATTTTTCAAACGTTTCTGCAATTTTTGTTAAAAATTTCTCTAATTTACCAGGATCTATTGTAGCTAATTGTAAAAGATTAGTAGATATTTTTATATATGAATCTGCTACGTCTTTATGCTTCGCAGTTTGACGATCTGCACGACTCGTTGCTTCCTTTAAATTATGATGATACAATTGTAGAAATGTCATTTCTTGATCAAAAAAGTCATTTACATCTTTTACAGTTGCCTGCAAATAATATTCATCCGTGGTTTTGGAAAAAGATTTCACTAAACCACCAAACATTTCCATTTTATTTTTTCCTAAAAGCAAAGGCATAATTTATCTTTGTTAACATTGCAGAATTAATATTAATTGTAAAAGAAAAAGTGTCTTATTTATTATTTCCTTTTATTTTATAAATTAAATTTTTCTGAATACAAAATTTTTACCTCTGACACAAAGATCTTGATCATATTCTAGAAATACTCTAAGATTGTGATCATTTAGAAAAACTGGATGATGTGCTAATCTTGTTAGAAACATTTCATGCATAGCAACAGTTTTCTTGAAAGTAGCCAAATATTCTCTATAAAGATCACATATCTATTATAAATGTATACTATGTAAAATATATATTTAACATTCTGTTGAAAGGAATGTACAACTTACGCTTCTAATTCTTGCTTCATTTTGTTAAATTCTTCTCTTGTCATGTTACCTTCACCTTCTCCAAGTTTTTGTAATTTCTCACGAGATGCATCAAAGTCTGGTCTTGGTGGACATGGTGGAATCTATGAAATTATAGGTTATAAATTTCTATTACTTTTATAACAAATAAAGAAAACTCAGAAGTGATAATTCTTTATACTAATTAAATACAATACATACGATATAGCCAGCATACTCCTCGTTCTCCTCAAATCTGTCATGAAGCCACACAAATTCCTCATGCTGTCTTACAACCAAATTCTCTGACTTTTGAAATTCGGGCAAGGTAGTTTTTGTGTGTACAGTAAATTTCACTTTATCCTTCTCGCTGAGAGCATCAGATATATCCACCCGTAGAGGCTTGTCTTGCAGATCTATGCTATCGGCATGAATTGTCTGAAAAAAGGTAATATAGTTATTTCATAGACATAATTTAAATGGAAGAATTATTTTACAGAAAGGAAAGCTTACAAAATATGAACAAAAACCGTTGTATGCATAAGGAAAAGTGAAAGATGTAAATACCTTTTTGGGAGGCACGCTGTTTAAAATGTCGGTAGTGTCGCATATTCCGTCCTGCAACATTTCTCGCTTATTAAATACTGCAGATCTCCTTTTTGAAAGGGAACAAACAATGCCAGAGTTCCAACTAATTAAACGCGTTGAAAATTCAATAGCCTACCGGCCAAGTGATAACAGGTTCCACCTACCATCATGGCGCCTGGTTGCGTCTTTACGACGCAGCCCGTTAGCTAATGTCCAGTATGTCAAAGGTATCTCCAAAATAATGCTTCACCGCCTTATGGAAGGTACATCTGCAACATTAACCCTTCTGCAGTACGAATGGAAAGCGCGAACGCGAGTAGAAGAATAGCAGCGCTCTCGCTTTGGCAAAGCCCGCTCGTTCAATTCACGACATGCCGCTCTCTGGCGCTTTTCTATAGCGAGCGCAACAGAGAGATAGAAAATTTGTATCGGCAAATCAGCTGTGGATCAAGTCAGTTGCGTCACGCGGAATTTATTTGAACATACGTCAAACGAATAATTCTGTCACATATGTACATACATACGCAACAGATGATATGATTTTCTTAAACGTAGGAAAACAAAAATTATATCGCTAAATATCAAACTTCTTGACATTTCTTATTAGTTTTAATAATTGGAGGATAATGTTCGGATATATTTTCTAAAATTAATTTACATCGTTTAATCGTAATAGCATATAAGCATAATAAAAGTACACAGTGCTAAAATACTCTTTGTTACATTCACAAAATATTTTGTTACATTATAGGAAAAAAATATATAACAAAGAGATACACATATATAAGAAGAAATACATAGCTAATCATTAATACTAGTCAAATGATATTTTTGGGATCATGTATAGGTAATGGATCTGGTTAACAAATATGTTATATATGTACAAATACAAAAAAAAAATATTATTAATAAAAACACTATCCATATGTGCATTTGCTTCCCATAATTATGCAATGAAAGAATAAATGCATCTAATGTTTCGTAACACTCATCTTTCTGTAAAATTTAAAGTGTATTCAATTTTCAAATCCAAGCTCTACACATGATTTAATATCCCTTTATTCTTTTTATTAAGAAATATTCAACTAATATTATGATATCAACATCAGAGAGCTAACTAATGTTCCATAAATATAATGCAATAAAAGACTATATTTTCTGTTAATGCACATCTACGCATTTTACATATACTTAATTCTTTGTGTTCTTGTATAGTTAAATATTCATACATCAATAGAAATAATAATGTACATTATGATACTTTTTGGACCTTGTTCGAATAGGATACATTTAGAAGTATTATGCCATCACATATCTAAATCAATATCTTTGGTTAAGAATTAAGAATGCACACTATGCACTTGACTCTTTAAATTGTATGGTACTACAAATGTTCTCCAGTCCAAAAAAAACGCTGAAAAATTTTAATTTACTGTTATTATATCGTTAATCATTGACTTTTAAAAGTGTATCATAAGTAATGATACTAACCACAATATAAATATTGTAAATAGTGAGGTTTTGTGTAATCATTACATAGAATATAAATTTGGTTACATAGGCCTCTTGATGTAATTGATTACATGTTTTATATATTCGTCATCTTATACATCAATACATACGTATACATAGTGTCGCCTTAGGTAGCCAAGTGTAATTTTGTAATTCCGTTTAAAGCCAATCGAACTTGATTATTCCAATCCACGATATACGATTAAGTAAATTAAATTTTTAATATTAAAGCACATCACATATATTACATGACAGTAAATAAATGTTAAGTATGGAATAGAAATGCCTATCCCTTCCGCCTTCTCATCCTCCTTTACTCATCAATGATAGAGACATTTACATCTTCAATAATATGTTCAATATCTCAACATGACAAATATATTTAATTTCCATATTTTACAGATAGAAGTATATCGCATTTTATAGCGATAAGCATAAAGTGATAATACTATAAATTTAGTAATATAGATGTTTTCATTCTTCAATAATAAAACCAATCAAAATATTATTAATATAAATAAAATACACATAACTTTGAGAGAGGGAACTTCATTAAAGTGTTACATTAACTTTTAAATAACGATAAAAATAAGAATTGTATGTATTTATATATATGTATATATGTATATATATATATATATATCATATATATAATAACACAAAGATACAAACTGACATGATGAGATCTGTAAATCAAGATTTTATTATATTTTATGATTCTAATGATGTATAACACTTTTGCCATATAATACTCCTATCATCATGTATATAATATTTTTTAAATAATAAATACACCAATTGTGTCACTCGTTACCTCAAGATGCGACGCGCGCAAAATTAAATGTACAAAGTCGGTGGTTGAGATTAAAACGAGGAGCAGGAGTAAAAGGATCGATTCAGATCGGAGAAGGATGTAGCGGTGGGCAGGCAACCCCCAGCCCCTAGCAGCACCCACCGCCCTGTGCATTTCCTTGTCCTCCGGTACCTGCTAATCCACTAGGACTTGTTGGAGAATGTTGTGGTCCAATTTTAATGCCATTTGCCTAATTAAAGGAAATAATATTTATATAAATAGAATTAAATCTATTATTCAATGAAATATTAAGTCTTTCATATAAATAAATATTCACCTCATTATTGATATCAAATACACCCTCCTGTATTTTTTCATATATTTCTTTTGCTGTGTTAATGAATGCTTCTTCAACATTTGCTGCTGTCTTTGCACTTGTTTCCATGAAAACAAGTCCATGTTCTCTGGCAAATGCTTCTCCTTCTTCCCTTTTTACTTCTCTTCGTGAATCAAGATCACTTTTATTACCAATTAACATAATCACCATATTTGAATTCGAATGTTGCCTAGCATCTTCCAGCCACGTTGTAAGATGATTAAATGTTTCTCTGCGTGTAATGTCATACACCAATAATGCTCCTGCTGCGCCACGGTAATAAGATCGTGTAATAGAACGGAATGCTTCTTGTCCAGCCTATAATTTGTTTATATTAATATTTTAACGATTCCGTGTTAATACAAATTATCAATGTTATGCAATAATTACCGTATCCCAAATTTGCAATTTTATTTGTTTACAGTCAATGGTAATCATACGGGCGCCAAATTCTACTCCTATTGTTAAATCATGAACTGGTTGAAATCTTTTGTCTGTGAATTGCAATAGAAGGCAAGATTTTCCAACACCTATATTAAAGAAAAATTAATGTATTTAGTAATAATTAATTAAATTCTAATTAATTAATCCTTATTTATACAGGTGATACAAAACTTCGATTACAAAACATAAGTTTAAAATAATGCGATTTCAATTTTTATATATATTTAAGTGAATAGAATATATAAGAAAAGACAACTGTATAAAAAAAAAAAGATATTTTATATCGAGGTCAAAGTGAAATCACATACCAGTTGCTCACTGGCATAACATCAAATGTAAATGTAAAAATAAAAAGATCTATTAAATTTGACTACCGTATTTATTTAATGTTCTATATGCAAATAAAGAGTATATCTTTTAAGTTCGTATTACTTGAGAAAAAATTTGACGAATATAATGCAATATTAATAGATGCAAGTATAAAATTAAAAAAAAAAAAATGTTACAACGTAGAATTTCTACAAATAGAAACATCATTCTCTATGAGAGAACAAAAACAATGGGATCCTGTCAGGGCATATTTAATACGGAATATAGAATATGTTGAAGGGAGAGGTCAAAATATAACACCATGCCAATTACCTGTATCCCCAATAATGATATACTTGAAAAGGTATGCATACGACATTTTCAAAGCTTTAAGATTGTGATGCACAAATATCAATATAATAGAAAACACAGTTTCAGTTTTTTTTTTTTACTGCTTTATCTCTTCTGCTTGGGCATGACGTCACTAAATGACATCGGTATTATTCGGATACTTTCGGTCAATCCTCGTTCACATTTCCGCTATTGCGCTGCTGTCGTTTCCGTTTACTTGTAATATTTCATTCCAGTTTACTTGTAACTATCTTATTAAAATATTATAAAACATGTAGTTTCATCAAAATCATTTAAATATTTGATATTAAAGCATGAATAATCTAATATCTGACTTATTCTATTAACATGGACTTTCGTAGGTTTAAAATAATAACACGAAACAATGTTCAAAAATCATAGTACAATGTACGCAATTATTTTCAATTCGAACAGATTTAAATTCGACTTATTTGTATAAAATTAATTTATCAGAATATTTTTATAATATATTTCTATCATCAAATATCATATCATTTTCATTTTTCTTTTAGAAATGAAAATATGTTCAAAATGTTTCTTTTGTAAATACATAATGCAAAAGTATAATTCATTAGAATAATGTTATATGAAAATTATTGCGTCATTAATTTCATGTGATTTCACCATGATGATTAGTTACCCATTCACGATCTTTTCACTTAAAGGTGCTTACAGAATTGCATACAAAGTCGTATATATTTTCCTATATGTACAGTCTATATATTCATGTTCATCTCCGATAAATACAACAGAGATGGAAGAAATGTTGGACCAATCAACGAACGACAGCACTGCGCCGGGTCTCGTGCTTCGGTGGCTACTTTTTAGCGTAGCCACGTCTTCATTAAGCAGTAGTTCTCCGATAGTTAGATGCGTTGGGTGCAGTTACAAAGGAGCTCGGATAATTTCACGATGCTACCTAAAATTTTCGTTTTCGTTAGTTTATTATTCCTAAACGTTTATGCTTCCGAAAGTGATGTTCTTGAATTAACTGACGATGATTTCACGGATGAACTTAAGCGTCATGAAAATGCACTTGTCATGTTTTACGCACCATGGTAAGAAAAAAAAATTTTTTTACTCGTTTCTATAGTTTTTAATGTGAGTCATAGGAAAATGAAGTATGTTAAGTTCGTTCGTTTTTTATATTAGAAGAAAATGTACAATAAAATAATGAACTTACACAAATGTCAATTTTTACACTCGCCGAATACCGGTTAGACAGTTCTTGATCATCGTTTTTATATACTTAGCGGCAACGCATTGTATTATTCTATAGTTTACTAATTATTCCAATTTATAATAAAACTATTGGTATTCTTTTTTTTATGTTAATTAAATCTTTTAATACAACATATTTCTTTAATGTTTCTTTGTCTATTTATGTTATTTATCACAGTTTCATATTTTAAAATATACAAACAATATTTATCTCTCTCGTACGAAATAAATGGAATAAATTACATTTTAATTATTTCATCAGTCCATTTATCTATTTTTCAATGTATGTTTTTTAATTTTATTTCTTTTATTTTATTTTTATTTTTATTTTTAATTCTTTTTTCTTTTTTATACTTTCTTTTTTTTTTTTTTTTAATGGAGTAAAAGTAAAATTA